TGGGCGTCGTGTCGTGGGGTATTGGCTGCGGCCAACCCGGCGTGCCCGGCGTCTACGTCAAGGTCGCACACTATCTGGACTGGATCTCCCAAGTCACTGGAAAATTCTCCAATTACTAAGTGATCATAAATAGTATTTATTACCTTTGATTTAGATGTTAGCCTTATTTAATAAATATTCTTAATTTATTATTTAACTTTGGGCGGTAATGCTCAGAGAATACGAGTAATCGCATATGCAGATTTTTGTAAATTAAACCACTTAAATATAATTTTTGATAAAATATTCGTTTTTTTCTTCTTATTTCACATAATCATCAATGAAACCAAGTAAGTCATTTATCCCGGTGTGTTTGCTACGATTTTATGGAGTGCAAGAAATCATTTAAAATATTTAAATCAAGACTTGTACTTGCAAAACATTTTCCTTTAAGATCAACTTCCCAAAAGAAGGAGGTACCCAATTCGTCTGTATGTTTCTTTTTATGTGTGTTACGGCATAACTCCGCCGCTAGGATTTTTCCATTTTTTATTCCAGTTATCTTGATCTGCGATAAGTTTCAGTTACTTATTTAAAGACAGAGTCACCTATGGAAGTGTTACTGAAATACGTGCAGCACTATTTCAAAAATTTTTATTATTGTTAAAAGTTAGCGATAGATGGCGCTGTTCAAGGAAAAAATAGAAACATCAATTTTTAATTTTCTAATTTAACGGTTGTTGTCCCATGAATTATTATTATTATTTTAGACTTGTTTGTAAGGGATTGTACTGTACAAAAATAATTTTAACGAGTAATTGAATTAACAAGTATGTCATGTATTATAAAAATTAAAAATAAGACAATAAATTAAAATAACAAATCATTTTGTCATTTTAATGTCAGTAAAGAATATCATAATAAACTGAAATAAAACTTATACAAATCATATAATTAATCTACAATGACGAGTAGAACAACGGATCGGAAAGGCAAATCTAAAGAACTGAAATCGCTTACAAATGAACTTCAAAACGAAATAGCTGCATTCACTTTACCCAACAGCCTACCTTGCTCTGAAATAGAGTTTCCAGTTGCACCGAGAAGAAGACCACGTGCCAACTGGGACGAAATACTAGAGGAGAGTGAAGAGAAATATCAAGAAATTGAAGAGTATGAAGATAGTAAAAAAGGAAGACCTCAGTTGTCGCCATTTCTGAGTATATCATTTTTATTCCAATAATGTATTTTTTTTAATTTCAACATTTTTTTACATTATAAGGTGGCAAACGAGCAAGCGGCCACCTGAATCCGCCGAAATGGCGAAGCGACCTCTACCCATAGACATCATCACAATCGACGGAGGAGAAGACGCGCAAAAGGAGAATATTTCTCCTTCCTGTGCGTCTCCTTCACCGTCAAATACACTTTTTCTTCCCATAGTATTCTTTAAAGGTAGCTTATTTTTTATGTACTTTTTTATTTTATTTATTAACAAATAACTTACAGCTAACATACAAAATTAATAAAAAAAACTGAAGGGTAATTACAAGTTATCGCAGATAGTCACAAATATAGATTTTAATAAAATGCTTGTACCATAAAATACTACATACATCAATTGGGTCATAACAATTTAAAGTTTTAATATTGGCAGGTACTGAATGCAATTATTTGAAAGAAAAAGTGTTTGTCCACTTACAACCAGCCTTAGAAGAGACGCTTCAAAAAGCTCAAATTTGGGAAGCATTGAAACAGCAAAAGTGTTTCTTTAATGGTATTGATCATATAGCGCAGGTAAGTTTCACTAGAAATTGATATAGTATTGGATATGCTATTATAACCTAGCAATGAATATTCATATGACTTTCCATATATTGCCTGTCCATTTCTATTATTGATACAAGGCATATATGTCCAAGCAATTTTCGGTTTATAAATACAAAACTGTCAACAAACACCATGGTACTTCAAAAATGTTTAATTTTTTTGTACACTAAAATATTTATTTCAGCTGTTATGGAACAATAATCCGAAATATCCAGATCGTAAAGAACACAACCTACACATATTTAATATGCCTTGGGTTCGAGAACTATTGAAAACATAGTAAGTTTATTTATGTTTTATATTTACCCTATCAAATTCACAGAATCCATATATGTACATATCGTTGGGTGAAAGGCTATTTGTTTTAAGCGCCATTAGGATAAATGTTCAGGAGAGCCATTTAAAGTCTTCATTTCTAGAAAAAAAAACAAATGCAAATCCTGGAAATTATTTCAATTGAAAGATTTTCAGAACGGTTCTAAATTAAAATTACTATAAATCTGCATACTTCATTATATATTTCATATTTAAAATTCTGAATATATGAGTCAATATCGCGCAAAATGGCGGTTAAAACAAATAGCCTTTCACCCGTCGATATATTTAATTGTACAATATCAATAAATTAAAATCATTTTTCTTTTGTATTGTGGTTTTCAGTGTTTAAAACATGGTCAAAATTTCAAAGTTGTTAAAACTGTAAAAGTTAATGTTTATATTTATGTTATTCAAAGCAATGTTAGTTGTTTAAGTGGGCAATTTGCTCCACAGACAAAAGATTCATAAAACAAAAACGATTTAATCTTTTCCAGTCCAAGACCCTACTATCCTAAATCTTGGTTATGGCCTGAAGACTATGCAGCAACAGTGATCCAAAAAACTGTTCGGCAATACTTTGTGCAGAGAGAGGATGAAGTTCAAGAGATGCGCAACTTTTGGAGGGTAAATATCTTATCAATATCAGCTTACTATACATCCCTACTTAGGGACTCAAAGTCTACTTAGTTAGGAGCGATTAAGCCATGAATACTAACCCACAGAGATGGTTGACTTCACATGTTCTTGGCCATATAAAGTCAGGTAAAGATATCCTTAAAAAATCTATTCTTTAACATCATCCTTATTAAAAACAAATTCCTTGCTAGACTTCGACCAAATGGAAAAAAGTAGCCTATGTTGCTCACACTAAATTATCTCTAGTGGTGAAAGAGTTTTTTAAATCGGTCCAGTTGTTTTTCAATTATCTCAATACATACAAAAATACAAATCTTACCTCTTTTTAACATTATTATAAGTATATATAAACATAACATGAACCATTATCAAGGTGAAGTGTAAAAAGACGAATTAATACATTTTTAAAACTGTTTTTAGGAAAAATAGGTGTTAGTGATAGACTTAAATCTATTTAGTCTATTTTTTCCCTTCAATACAATGTTTTAGGAAAATTAGATAACATGCCTCAAGGAACACAATTGTCAGTTGAAGAGATAGAGCCCCACTAAATCTTTGAGCAACTTTTAATTAATCAAAAGCATGTGATTGTTAATTTCAGAAATTAGAAGTGGAGAGAGCCATACCTGAAATTCAAGGAAATCCACTTCTGTCTAAGAAATTTGCTGCTTCACAGAATTGATACAAACTGTATATTTAATTTTAATTTATTGCAATAAAATATACTAACAATTATTCTTCTAAATATTATTAACTACAATTTTTTTTTCACATTGATTTAATTCAATGTAATGCCTTCATATAGTGAGGGGCTAGCAGGCTTTCCCAGGCCCATAGCGAACTTAACTGTTGGTTTTTCATCTCCCTGAGCGATCCTTGCCACTCTGTTAGGACTGGTGTTGTAGCTAAGTGGCATTACATACTCTTTCAATATCTGGAAAATCATAAATCACATTTAATGGAATCTATTGGACTAGATGCTTTTAAAAACAATGTTCTTTCAATTGTAATTAGAATAACTAATAAAAGGGTGGATGTAAACTGCCTCCTAAATTAATAAATAATATATAATAGATATAAATACTTTTAGATCTAGATGTCACTTATGTTTACAATTACTAATTGTTCATGGTATGTAAATAAAGAAATAAAAATTGTTAAATAATTACCTCCATTCCTTTGTTCTCATGATCTTTTACTATAAATTTCTTCATTAAAGGTGGCATTTCTATGGTTCTGGGCAAAATTACATCTGGGGAATCATGTATCTCTTTGACGGACTGCAGTAAATTTGCCTCTTCATGCTTCGGTATAAGATTATAATCAGGCTTATATGATGTTCTATAGATTTCAGTTAATTTATCAAGCTTTTTTCCTCTGAAAGTTTTCTCTACCCATACGCGGACACGACGCCTTTCCTAAAACATATAGAAGATTTTTATAATACTAAATCGCCACTAAAAGTGGAAAAACTGTTCATAAACGTATTTTAATGAACCAGACTGAGTTGTCTTCGTATTTTTCTGATCTCACCTCGTCAGGACATGTCTCTACTTTCACTATCTTCATAAAACTCGGCTCAGGATATCGCTGAAATACAGATCGAACAACGATCCTTCCTACTCCGAAATTTTTTAGACTTCCTACAATTTCCCACAACGTCTTTCCCTTAAAATCGGTAGTCCTTCCAACGTATTTTATAACAGTAGTTGTCATTTTGAAATACGATTATATAAGAGATGAATACAAGCGGTAAAACCACTTAGAGAGGCATAATCAACAAACTTTGGTAGTTATTTTGGTTATTTTCTAACCTAAACTGTTTCGAAACATTGACACTTAGCCTTGTCACATTTTGTCATTCGCTCTGATTCGCTCCTCGCATTTAAGTATTTCCATTTCAAGCAGTTTAGTTAGTTTTTTAGATGGACGCAAAAGTTATACCCGCTCGAGGAATTAAGAAAAAGAAAAGAGTGCTACTTGAAAAAGTCAGAATCGTAATAATCTTAAAAAAATATTTCGTTATCCCTACTTTAAGTAAAATATCATGCGCCTATTCTATTACTCTGCTGGGGTTCACTCAAAATCAAATGAAAATACTTTTTCTTTGTGGCAACACTACTTAAACTATTTACCATCAAAAACTACTAGAAATGCGTTCTCTTATTAATAGATGGCATTAGTAAATTTTATGTATCATACGAATAATGCCATCTGTTGCCGATTTTCGAAATCTGTACTGCAGATTCAAAAAATATTTAGAAGCATAGTTGACAACTGATATACTACCTTGTAGAGAAAGTACCTTTGAAAAAAATGTTCACCATGCCTGGTCTATACAATTTTTTAAATGTCTTTCACTGCAATGCGTTTATTCTTATTTTCGGTACAGTAAGACTTAAATTTACTATTTCATGGGGCTTTTTACCACTTTTTAGGTAACAAACAAGAATATTTAAATGCAGAAATAAGGCAAAATGTAATCTCTCTTGCACCTATCTCTATGTTGGGTACTTTGTGAATTTTGCTTTCAAGACAATCTGAAGCAGCGGTTGTGCTTATTAGACCATAATAACAAAAACAAGGGAAATTAAATAAAAGAAATATTAAAAATCAACTTTAATTTATTCTCAATTTCTTAATTTGTTATTTTATGGAATTTACGCAATACAAAGGTTTTAAAATATAATTACAATAGTTAACAGATATTAAATTTTAAATGCAGATTTATTAGTAACAATGTCATGGAGATATCCAATATTAAAACTAATTATTTTTGCTCAAAGCCAAAAGTATTAATATACCAAAATCTAGGAAACTAAAAGTGAACAGTTGACAAACTCTTGTATGAAGACCTACATTCTAAATTCACTACATTCAGTATGAAATTCATCGCATTTACATTAAGCCTCTTGACCATTCCTCCAAGGCAATATTTAGGCATTAAACTACCTGAATAAGTTAACTAATTCGTTATTCAACTAACTTCAATAATGGAAACTAAAGTGAACACCATGACATTGGAATTTCGATATATAGCTTTAATTATTACACAATATAATAAGACAAACGACAAAACACAAATTTGTATTAGATATTATCCATTAAGCATTCCCAAAATTCAAATAAATTTCTTTGATATATAACCGGGTGCCATATCCATTGATGGTAGGCCACCCGATATTGTAATAAACATATTCCTTTTGCTAAGACTCGAGGGCACGCATTGTATGCATGCTAATAAGCATTGTAATGCCCTCAACAATGTACTAAAGGAAAGCGGACGAGCAGAACAGAGAGTACAGCCAAAGTCACATAAATTCACACTTCTGTTCTGCTCTTTAAAGAAGCTATCCTTCTTATTTAGTTTCCAATCCCATGGACGCAGCATTGCATAAATAATAAACTAAATCACAGCCCCTTAGGGGTCGGATCGAAAGTGGAAACAATTTTTTGTCTCTAAACACTTTTTTGTAATATTTACTAACGCAGCACGTTTTAGTCGTTGAGTATTATAACGTATGTCAATGGTATGCGCGTATATAATTTCATCCGCCGACTTCAATTTCGGAATATAAACTGGGCTGTCTTTGCTTAGCAACAAACAGTGACCTCATACGCGCTGTAGTGACGTCACGTCGCACAACAAGCTCACGTCTCATGGGAATTGGAAACAGACCGATATTTTCTACTTTAATTTCTGTACAACAGTCACATTCCGTTGGCAAATCATTATAATTAAAATAAATAATAATAATTTAGCTACAAATTGCCTAGTTACCAACTGGAATGGGCTTCGTGAACACGCGGGTGGTGAGATAACAAGTCCATTCTACACAGGCCGGTATTAAGTTACAACGGCCCCTTTACATGTTACATCTAAAAGATTTGCGTTAATTAATAATTTACGACAAATATTTACACATCATCGATATATCCACATTTAAATAATTAACTTAAATTAGAATAATTTAAGGTAGTCGGGACATACTAATAGGAATCAGTCATTCAGTATCGACACGGAGCGAATGTCTCGGTCCACTATCACGCGCCACGCGCCACACCCCTGCGGCCGCGG